TGAAATCTGCCGCTGTGGGAGTTACGGCCATCTTTGCAATCATGATAGTCAGGGCTACTGTTGAGTTTCGAGCTCTCCAAGAAATTGATTGGGTATTGATTTGATCAGCCTTTATTGGAGTCTTACCAAGTTGGGCCTGAGGGGGGGTGCCTCTGGAAAGGTGGGGGCTATTTGATAAACCATCAAGTAAAGCGGCATGGAGTGACCCCTGGAGCAAACGTTGTATATACGGATCCTTTATTGGTCTTAACTTCTGGGGATAATGGCACCACTCCAGCAAATAACAATCAAGTGTGTTTGTAAGGTCCTGTTCGACATCAATTGAACGTGGAAAACAAACAAATCATTGCACGTCAAGTGGATTTCAGTTTTGGTATCTGGAGGTTTGGATGTTTGCGATAAGCTTGTCAGGCGTTTTTAACTTTTTTACCCCTTTTTCAAGTGGTGCAGAACCTCGAAGCTTCCAACACCAACCCCCGTTTTTGTTTTTTGTTTTTTGTGGGTGGCCTTTGATAGGAAGAAACAGGCTGGAGCCGGCTTGTATCACAATCAATGAGGCGGGTATGTGAGCCAACCAGACCCCTCAAGAATATTTCTGGACGCACACAGCAACGACCAACGCCGACCGATTCCCCGATCCTTTCTTGGATCCTTGCTTCAGGCCGGTGAATTCTCTAGTCTTGTCGCACCTCCGGATTTCACAACTGACCCAAGCTGGTCACAAAGAACAAAGTTGTATCTGGACATGTCAAGCAGGATGGGAACCCTCCCAACAAAATGGGCGTGCTTGGAAGATTGCTGGTGAGGCTGTATAATTACTAACATTCTTTTCCAATGGTCATAGCTTCATTTGTGCGTGAATTTTAACGGGTACTATTTCCCTATGGTCATAGCTTAATTTGGGTTCAAATTTGAATAGGGTATCCTTTGGTGGACATCATTCAGATGGGGAGTTATGTCCAACCGCTTTTGAGTAGTCTAGTTTGGCTTTATGATACCCCGACATCATTTTTCTTAGCCCTTTGCGTGGTTCCCTCGCGGATCGCAATCCCCCATTGGCAGGTGAGGGTGGATCAGAAGTTTGTGGCTGCCCTGATTGGGAAAGGCGGCCGGAGGCTGAGACTCCCCAATGAATGTGAGGTAGCCCAAACAGTTTTGTGGGATGTTCGGCTCGAATCCAGGCCTTTGATTCTTTTGGGGGGATTGTTTGTATCGATGCAAGCAACCTGGGTACCGCTCGATCGTCAATGCCGCATGCAGCTCAACACTTGAAGCACCTGAATCCGTGCAGCTTCGTGCATCATACAACCTGGCCAAACCTGACCTGGCTGTTCCGAACACCAGACCATGGCCATGCTTCCATCCTTAGGAATCCTCACCATGGTCGAACATCTCAAGGGGTCAGCATGACCATCCCTCACTCATTCTTGGCGCTGGGTAGCGCCGCAGAGCATCGCGTCCACAACAAGCACGGAGCATGCCGTGTTGGCAGCCCGGCCAGGAAGGCATACAGCACATACGCAGGCATGGGGAGTGCCTTGCTGGAGGCACTGTAGGCCTCAGCCGGCGAAGGGCCCCGAACCGGCTCTTGGAGCCCGAGTGCGGTCTGCACAAAGCTCGCGCCAGACATCGACGTGTACGTTCCCATGCAGTGAAGAAAATGAAGCGGCCGTGGTTGGGATGCGCCCGTTGCCACAGCGCATGCACGCATACAAAGCATTCAATGGGCCCATTCCACTTACCCAGAAACCCGATCCGGGAATCCTGCCAAATTTCAAGCCCTGAAATGAAAATTTGATCCCCAAGTAAACAGGTGTCGCCCTCAGGCTATGGCCTTCCTGTCGACTCATTTGTGTCATGCTGAGGCAGTACCATCTCGCAGCTCTGCTGGGAGGAAAATGTGAAGACGCTTGGTTGCCGCAATGTTGCCCCCGAACCCGTCCCTTTCTAAAGGGGGAGGGGCCCCCTCCAAAAGTGATCTGATTTCCTACTAAATTCAGGGACACCCCCTATGAATAAGCTGGGGTTGCTTGCCCCTCGAAAACAAGCGGAGAGAGGTCCTTGGTGAAAGACCATAGTCTTCCTGCCGGCCAAAGCATCAAGTTTGAAGTTTGTTGGAGAGGGTACGCAGCCAAGTGTATCGTTTGGGATGTTGTAGGCGATTCTTCCAATTGGCTATCAGCAGTTAAGACCAGGGTCTTTGTTCTGAATTCGATACTCTTTGCTGGCTTTGCCTGGTTGCTTGTGTCTCTTCTTGCTGCAGACGGTCAAAAAGCATGCACTCATCACTGCTCAAGCATTGCAAATACACACGCACCTCCAGCTACGTATAGGTATCTGTACGTTCATATTCAGGCAGCCAAACTGCCACATGCCATTGACCGCTTCACAATCAGACACTTGTCGACAAGGGGGAAACCACGCATTGGTTTTTCACGGGTTCCAACACTCTTTGGCTGACGAGCTCAGGATGAACTTCGATCAGTCCACCCAGCGAGAGGCTCCGACATGTGGGCCGCTTGCTGTTTCCGTCATTTGGAATAATTTCAGTTGAACCACGCGCACACACACACAGACACACAGGTTCAGTTGCTTTCTCTGCAGCTTTTGTCGGTTGTACCCAAGAGCCTTCAGAAATGGGAAGTTTACACAAAAATCTAAAACTGTTAAGGGTGCAGATCATTCATGGACACCCGTTTGGGCTTTGGAATTGGAGGAATCCCCTTGGCTGGGTTTGAAAAGGACACCAGGGCACTGTAGCCAACTGGGGGCACCCTCACCATGTTACACTCTCAACTTGTTATAGCTGTTCTTCCCCTGCCCGAGCCGCTATTTTTTTGTCGCAGGCATAGCTTTATCTCCATCACGCCCGAACTCATGGACTGACAGGACTGTTTCCCCCCCCCCCCCCCTAAAATAGTAGAAAGGGGGCGTCTGGGGGTGGCTGGTTGCTTTGTTTTTTCACATTTTTTAATATTCTAGGGAGTTGTTAGACGTATTTGTTTTATCATTTGTTCAGTATTTGCTCGTCTGTGTTGTTTTGAATATTTTTTTTTACATTTTTTTCATTTTCAATAAGTCAAGCAATGGCAACCTTATTCATTATTTACAGTTTTTCAATGAGGTAGTTAATTTTACCTTATTCGTTTTTTAAACCACAGGACTTCAATAAACCATAGAGTATAGAGTAATTCAACACCTTATTCGTTTCAATATTTTCACCCCCAACAAATAGTACTGAAACAGATGACTAACTCTACAAAAGTTTTAATCATATCATATTGAAATAATATCATTAAACGCAATCACCACTAATCAATGTCATATATTGTAGTCGCTTATAAATCTCACTGTCTTCATCAACATTTGGTTCTGCTTCTGTCTTTGTTCTTGTCTTTGTTTCACTTGTTGTTTCTGTCTCTGTTTCTGTCTTTGGTTCTTCTGTCTGTGTTTCTTCCTTAACAGTTATTAAATTGTCCTTGTGTCGTTTTGTTCTTTCGTGCCTCGCTTTGTTATGAAGTCCTATCATTATTTTACAGCAAGGACAATCATATTGCTTATGTTTAGTTTCCTTTTCATTTGTTGTATTATGTTCCTCCATATACTCTATACTCCATACTCTTTTAACTATTTTTCTAAACAATTTTTTACATTTGTTTCATTTAATAACAGTCTAACATTTTGACATTTTCAAGGTTCAGGTTTCAGACCATTTTACGGCTTTCTGGGGGATACAAGGGTTTATTCATATTATAAGATAATAATATAAATAAACTGACTGAATTCTATTTTTTACATAACACTCACTAATTTTCTTTTAGGCTAAAAGTTCTCTAAAGTTCACTATAATTATGATTTAGTTTTGAATTACACAGGTTCATCAACAATTAGTTTAAACCTTATGCTTTTTAAACCTTCAAAATTCATTCTACGTCTTTCATCATCAATACAAGTGTATATTTGTTGATGCGCCGCTCTCATTACATCAGCTATATTATCCATGGTTATATTATCTACAACATCATCACTATGAAAATTTAAAGTAAAAGTGCTAAATTCATCGTCTTCATAATAATTGAAATGATGAAATCTTACAAACATATCTATCATAACTATTATCGTTGCTTCATAACCTTCATCGGTTTCAATGTCATCTAACAAACAATATAAGTTTTCATTTTCATTAAAAAATATATTTTCAATGCTTTTAATGCTTAAAGGTATATTTCTAGAAATGTAATGCTTAATTACGTGTCTCTTTATATCATAACTATCTTCAACAGTATAGTGCTTTGTCTTTATTTTTGTTTCAGTTCTGTTTATTTTATAACGATTTTGTATTCTCTTTAATGTCTTAATATGATTATGTTATATTTTCAAATACTCAGGTTCACCTAATTTATATGAAACGATACTTTTTAATACTTCAACAGGTAAGTTACTCCAGTTCTCAACCATAAAATTATTCTCTGTCATTTTACCCTCGCTCATTTTCTCTTAATATATTAAGGTCTCATTTCTTTAAGTACATATTTGACTTTAAGGTAGTTTAATCATATTATAAGATAATAATATTAATAAACTTAATCTGAATCACTATCAACAGTATCTCTATAAGTAAACCATTCTATAATCAACCTTTTCTTTTCTACCAAATGACAGGCAAATTTATGGTAAAACTCATTATCAAAAATGTTTTTATAAACGACTTTGTCTTTGTTTTCTATATATTGCCATTTCAACATTTTAAGAAAATCTCTACACATCGAGATGCTAAAATCTTTACAAGATACATAAGCGTCATTATGATTAAAAAGTAAATTCTAATGAAATTGAGTAGCGGTTGCATAATACAAGATTAACCTATTATCATATCCATACTCTTTTAATGTTTTGTCAAAATCAGTTGTAAATATTGTCTGTAATGACTTTTTCGTCGGACATTTATTTAACCTCGTCATATACCAAATCCACTTATCCATTTCTTTTAAATTGTCAGGTTCGCTTTTCATTAAATGTTTTGTAATGGTGCATCTTTTACAACATACAAAACTCAAAGTATTATCAATGATACAGTCAGGTAATATGTCATTTGCTTTTTTTTTTTTTTTAAACTTTGTTGTTGAATATCTTACAACCACGGCATTTTACAATTTCTTTTGTCAATTCTTCTCTGATACACTTATTCATTTTTATCTTAATATATTAAGGGGTCATTTCTTTAAGTAGTTTTTTTTTTCTTCTTGCCTCTGCTACTTTTTGTGTCAGCGCTTTCTGGGCTTCTGCTCCTGCTTCTTGTTTCCATTTGTTCCCTCGTCCATTCACTACCTCTTGCTATTTCTTCGGGTGACCGACTTCTGCTTCTCGTTTCCATTTGTCTTATGCTCCATTGACTGCCTCTTGCTCTTTCTTCTGGTGAGTGACTTCTGCTTCTTGTTTCTACCTGTCGTCTTGTCCAGAATGATGCCCTCGGTTGTTCTTCTTCCTGTTCTCTTGATTGTTCTGATGGTGTGGATGACTTCTTTTCTCGTTTGAATAATTCAAATATGCTCTTGTCTTCTCCACCTAAAAATATGTTTCTTAACGACTTTATTTCTCGGCTTTCCTCTTTCTTCTCTTCCTCTTTCACGGTTGATGCTGACGATGATGACGTTAAATGAAGACTTTGTAAATCTTCCTGCTTTTCATCTTTTGGTTCATCTTTTGGTTCATCTTTTGGTTCATCTTTTGGTTCATCTTTTGGTCCTGAAATTGCATTGCTATAAATTTCATCAGCAAAATCTTTTGCTACATATCGTGTTGTTTGTGCGTTTGCCTCGTTGTTTTCATATAACCGTGATGTTGGTGCTACTTCATCAAACATATCAGGGATCAATTCGTGTTGAAGAACTTGTTTATCAGAGTGAACCCTAGCATTCAACCGTAGTCTCCTATCGTATTTTGAAAGGTCAAAATCATCAAAGTCTATATTATTAATTGATGTGTCAAATGTCTGTCTTTCAGGGATAATTTCAATTTTTAATCTGTGTGTCATCGCTTCTTTCAGCATTTCATCAAATGTAGGGCGTCGTCTTAATCCATAATATTTTTCAGTCATATTAAATATTATAGATTATTTATTGTTGAGTTGCTTTATGGACGAAGTATTTATTATAAACATTGTCCTCATAATATTTTTGTAGTTTAACCTTCACTTCGTTTCTATCTACTCCTGTTGTATTGTTATATTCATCTAATAATTCTTTGAACTCATCATATTTAACAGCGTTAATTACATTGAATTGATGTAGTTTTGAAATTATACTATCCATTAAACTTCTTGGATTTTTTGCTAAATACACCGGCCACATCCATTTTATAGTAGTTAACTAATTTTTGAAAATTCGTTCGTCATCAACTTCTTCATTTTCAACACTTTTTAATTCTATTTCGATTGCTTGTTCTTGCATTTCCATTATCTCAGCATTAGTAATGGTTGTTTGCGCGTCATCGTCATCATCCTTACCTTTTTTCAATGCTTGTACTTCAACTACAGGGTCGTCTTCACGTTCATCTTCTTCTTCCTCTTCCTCTAATGGTTCTAATTCTGGCATTTCATCAGCGGACACCATTGAATGAATTTCTACACCTTCTGGTATTAATTGTTTTGAAACAGCACTTGCCATTTCTTCGTGTTGTTCTCTCCAAAGTCTCATTTTTTCAGCAAGTTCTTCTTTCTGTTTGTTTGTTTCCACCAATCTTTCATTAATGAAAGACTGCTGTTGTTTCAGTGTGTCAGCAAGTTTCAGTTCATCATCAAGTTTAGCTCTTACACTACCACCGTCCGACGACGCTTCTTTAATAACTTCTTCTCTTCTGTTCAGTTCTTGTTTCTTCTGAATATCCAAAGCATCTTTATTATCAAACTGACTACCGTATTGATTTAATCTGTATCTGGTTGCTTTTCTGTCTATTACATTTTCAATTGATGGGCGGTTCTCATCTCCTACTAATGTTTCTTTCAATAATTCATCATAAGAAGGTCTCAAATGTAATTGTGATTTCAATGACCCTACTTTTACCGGTCCTACTGTATTCAATCTATTCATTGATCTAATCATAGTATATTAATTATTTAGAAAAAATAAATTAATCAGATATATTCTTAATCATTTCTTCTAAATGCTTCTTTCTTACTGTTAGTTGTTCCTTTGTTTGTATTCCGTCTGGTGACCGTGTGTTGTCTAATATGTTTCTTATTCTGTCTAACTCTGTTCTGTAACTTTCGGTTCTGTTGCTTTCAACTAAATCGTTTCTATACTTTATTAATGCTCCTTGTGATTGTTTCGCTTCCAGTGTGTCCTTCAACTGTTTAAAGTAATTCATACGCGAGGCAACTCCCCATAAATCTGAAACATCATAATGACGTTCTACTTGTGGTGCTCTTTTGAATTCTATTTTTCTATGACTTCTCATAAGCATAATTGTTATATATAATAATTAGATTATTATTTAAAACAT